GGGTGCGGAGGGAACAGGATGGCAGCTCCGCCAGGCAGGGAGGGAGGGCGGCAGGCGGGCAGGGAGGGAGGCGGGCGGGCAGGGAGGGAGGGCGGCGATACCGGGCGGCATCCCTGAGCCCGTCCCCAGCACTCCCCCTCCTCTCTCCTTTCTTCCAATCTTCCCCATGTCACGGCTCCAGGTCACCAAGTAGGACCGGCCATGACTACTTCAGAAGCTCTGTGTGGGCGTGCAGCCGCAGACGTCAAAGCCAGTGAGTGAGTCAGCGGCCGGCCCTGCAGACTTGTCCCCGCTTTCCATAGCATCACCCCAAGCCTTTCTGAAATGAGGCCAGTGTCCTGCAGAGGGCAGAGCAGCACCAAGAAACGCACCTGTAACGCACAGGCACCCACCTCACCCACACACGCAGCCGTGGTCCAAGCAGGGAAAGAGCAATCAGAAAATGAAACAGTTCGTTCTCACCTTTCTCTGAGACAGCAGAGAACAGCAGAACCCTCAGCCCCAAACTCAGAGTCAAGAGCAAGAACAACGGATACTGTTCTTTCATGCAGAAAAAATACTAAAAACACCACCATGTTTCCAGGATTGGGACCCATCTGGCTCAGACCCGGGTTCAGCAGCGGCCAAAGGGAGACAGGAGAACTCAACCAGAGAAGAGCAAGCAGGCACGAGGGATGGAAGACACGGGACCGTTTCCAACTCCGACCCATCTCCAAGGAGGTGAGCAAGAGTGGCCTGCCCACATGTGCATGTATACCATGCATCTGCCACGGTCCTGTGGCTCCAGGGACCCCGGACCACAGCCTTGGCTACTTTGCCAGTGTCACCTGTCAGAGAGGAGTAGAGCCATGTTGAAATCTAGGATTCCAACGCAACTTGATGCCCACCCCCTGCTTCTTCCTGCAGGGTGTCCAGGCCCAGGCCATTGGTCAACAGGCATGGCTTTGCCCCTCAGGGTCTGCCCCTGCACCAGGGGCCAGGACAGTCAAAGAATGAGGCTGCTCTCTGCAGGCCCCAAACCAAGCTGTCCACCTGACCACGTCCTCAGGGGCAGGAGATTATGGCCTTGCCTTCTTGTTCCAGGGACAAAGTATTTAAGTGGGTTTTGAGCTCAGGCCCCAGGTTGGATTTTCAAAGCCAATGGATTCAGTAAGTTGGTGTCCAGTGCTCATGATTCCCCGACAGTCCTTGAGGCTACCCCAGCACAGACGCCAAACGGCCACAATGCTCAGGCCCACTCTTCCAGAGGTTGACACAAGGACGTAAAGTTGCTCCGAGCCACCTGCAGGCCCAGTGGCTGTGACAGGCTCCAGTGCCCCCCAGCAGGGCAGGTTTGGCAGTGCTTGCTACCACCCTCAGGAAGTTCATGTCATATCCCAAAAAGGATGTCACCAACCTCTGAGCCTTTCAGAAAACCCTAACTGCCCCTTTGGGTTTCTCTGCAGGCCCCTCTAACCCCAGGCAGACCACATGGTGGCTCCAAGGGTGTGTCCACTGAAACCTCTGAGCATGATCATTTTGGAAAAAGGTTCTTTGCAAATATAAGTTAAAGATCTCAAGATAAGATTGTCCTGGATTAGCTGGTTGCCCTGAGCTCAGTGACAAGTGTCCTTGGAAGGGGAGACAAGGGGAGAAGATCACATGATGCATCTGCAGGCCAAGAACACCTGGGCCCACCAGAACCTGGGAGAGGCAGGAAGAACCCTCTGGGAACATGCAGGGCCCCGCTGCCAGCGAGTGCACCCTCTGCCCTCCAGAGGAGAGAATAAATTTGTTTTTAGCTCACCCCATCTGAGGGGCTTTGCAATGGTAAACTTGACCCCACCTTGGGAGGCTGCTCTGAGCATCCTGGGATCTCCACTTCCCAACCAGCATGCCAGGAAGGCTCTGCACCAACACCCACAGGCTCAGGCAACCCAGAGCTCCGGGCCTGAAAGACTTGGGGGTTCTCCCCTGAAGAGGAATAGGCTGGGGTCTACCTCAGCGGCAGAGGGTTTGCAGGCACGCGCAAGAAAGGCTCTGGGCTCAATCTCCAGCACCACAAAAAAAAAAAGGAAGAGGAAATGGTCCTGGCAGTGTGTGGACAGGCAGTGTGCAGCAGGACACCTTTCCTTCCCCTGACCCACAGCCCAGGGCCAGAGCAGCAGGGCCTCCCTGCCCCAGACGCTTCACAAGCCTGTGAGCAGGACTCCACAAGCCCCTTGCCTCTCCTCGCTGCAGAGGTGGGTAAGGAGGGTGGGGACACAAGAACCAGGAGACTACCTCATCCTCCTTGTACTCTGCAAACCCCAGATCACCCTGCCTGGCTCGCAGCCCTGCTGGCACTGGTCCCACAAACACGTTCCCCTTGGGCACAAAAATGCACCTTGGATTCAGGCCCAGAAATAAAACCCAAATCAGGGTCAAGGTTCTACTCCCTTCTCGTCAGCATGTTTTCCCTGGGCCAGGGCAGGGGCTGCTCTGCTGCCTGCATGAGACCCAGGAGAGGGCCCGAGGACTCAGCAGTGGGCAGGAGGCAGGACCCTGACGGTCCTGAGGTAAGAGTCTGCACCAAGCCACAGCCGTCAGCCATCAGCAGGAATACGAAGGCCAAGGGCACGTGTCACACCTGGCACGAAGGGCTTCAGGAGCCCTGGCACCAGACCCCAACAGAGATGGTGCCCAGTATAGGGAGGCTCAGAAACCAGGCCCAGGTCCCCCAGTGCAATTACAGAAAGAGGGGACACCTGCTTGGTGTTACAGAGCCCTGGACACTAGGGTCAGTCTCCACAGTGGCCTCTCCAGCCCCATGCCAGGCCGCTGGGGCACTCTGTGGTCTCTCTGATGCAGTATTCGGGCATTAGGCCTGGCCCCAGCCTAGACCTTCTCCTTTTCTAGCTTTTCTTTCCCCACCTTTGGCCATGTAGACAATACTCTGGCGTTCCAACTTGTGTAGTGTTGACCAAAACCCCCACTACAGTGACTCTGGACCTTAGGGAATGCTCCCCATGGACCTGCCTCTGAAGGCTGGTGAGCGCTGCTCCAGATCCGTTTCCAGGCTCTGCCCACCGAGGCCCCTCCTGTGCTGGCTGAGGCTGTGCAAGCTGGATGGGCAGGTCAGCCAGCCAGCCCACTGCTCCTCCCTGCCCAGTGGTGCTCAAACACACGGGTGGAAGAGCACAATGCCAGCATGGGCACCTGTGGAGCCACCGATAAGGATGCTGGGCACTGGGACCCCAGGTAAGAAGCACAGCTCTTCCCCGAATGGGTTGTCCGGAAGAGCCGCTCCCTTGGCAACAGGCACACTATGTCCTCCTCCTTGGTGAAGAAGCCGAGGCACATGCCTGGGAATTCAGGAGCCAGGAACCCTGCTGAAGGACCAGGACAAGAGGAAGAAGAGCAGTTTACCCAGTGAAGGGAAGAAGAGAAGCAGCAGCCAGGTGGGGAGGAGGGACGGGACAGACAGCCACAGCGGCTTGCACAACTGCCCGGGTGGGTAGGGCTGTGCAGAGCCCAGCCTGGCTCTACCCTGCCTGGCTACCCCTGCACCCCTGCTCCAAGCACATCCCATTCAGTGACCCTGTCTTTTGCAGTCCTAGGATCTAAAGTTTGAGGTCAGCCTGGGCAATTTAGCTAGATCCTGTATCAAAATAAAAATTTAAAAAGGGTCTTGGGATGTAGCTCAGTGGTAGAGCACTTGCCTAGCATTCTTGAGGCTATGTCCCTCCTCCCCCGCGAGCCAGGGGCTGCACACTGACTGCCCCAATCAAGGTCTGCCCACTGGAATGAGGGGCAAGCCTGAGACTGAGGTGGGGAGGCACCGTACACCTCCCAACAGAGGCTCAAGACTCAGTGGCCACCCAATCCCTTTGGTCTTGAACTCCTGCTCCACAGCTGAGCATGCTACCCCCAGGCTGGCCCTTCCTGTCTTCCTTCCACACTAGCCCAACCTGCAGGCCTGCTGCAAACAGGCGGCCCTTTCTTTTTCTTATTTCTTGCATAATTGAACCCAGAGCCTCAAGAATGCTAGGCAAGTGCTCTACCACTGAGCTACATCCCAAGACCCTTTTTAAATTATTACTTTGATACAGGATCTAGCTAAATTGCCCAGGCTGACCTCAAACTTTAGATCCTCCTGCCTCAGCCTCCCAAGTAGCTGGGATTACAGATGTGAACCAGAACACCCAGCAGGTGGCCCTTCTTCATGTCCTGCAATGCTCAGCACAGGGACTGGGTGTGCACAGCAGGAGCCCAAGGACCTGCCATATCTGCCCTGGTCACAGACCATGCCAAAGGTGGGCAGGCAAGGGGGCTACCACCTGGCCAGGCCCACCCAGCACAATACCCTGGTTCTGCCTCAGGTCCAGCCTAATTATCCAGGTCCCCTCCTGACCATCCAACCATAACCAGGAAGCAGTAGGTGCCTGGCCTACAGTAACACGTGAAGACACAGTGGGCTCCAGGAATGGACAGCCCAAGAGCTGGCCCAGCCTCCTGACCACCGGCCTGTCTGCAACCTTACTATCCTCTCCTTCGTGAGGCCCACAAAGGACAAGGGGCAGAACCCGGAGGCCAGCGCAAACACCTGCCTATCTCACCGTCCTGCCTGGACATTGCCCGCGAGGGCCGGGTCCTACCAGCTGTCACTCCTCCAACCCTGCTGCATTTTTGTCGCCTCCAGGGAGCCCCCGCCCACGGCTGGCCTGGCGGCGGGAAGCCGGAGGCACTCGCCGGACGCCACAGCTGGTGCACCAGGGCTTGGTCCCATCTGAGCACCCCCCACTCCAAGCCCCGGCCAACCCGCCAGCAGGGCTCCCCGCCCCCGCCCACCAGCCCACGGAGCAGGCTCCTGGGCGCGCCAGGCTCTGGCCGCAGAGCCCCGAAATCCAGACCCCAAGCAGGGGCTCACTGCGGGACCCCGCCAAGGTCACGGCTGGGGGCGACCGGCCACCCCGCCGCGTATCCGCACGCAGGGCGCGAGTGCAGCCGAGCGGGTTACGTAAGCCGCGCGGAGCGCGTACCTGCAGCGGGAACGTGGCCGCCCGGTTGCCCACGTAGCCGCGGACGACGTGGCTCTGGATGGAGAGCACCCGGCACTCCTCCTCCATGCCGGGCGGGCGCGGCGGCGCGGGGCCGGGGCGGTGTCACGGTCTTGGCGCTCGCTCGGGATCCCCGCTCGCGGCTCTCCGGCGCGCGGCCCGGCTCGCGCAGGCGCTGGGCTCGGACGCTGCCCGCCTCCTCTGACCTCAGCAGCGGCTGCGAACCCGCGAGCCCCGCGCGTCGCGGGGCGGGCCGGGGGCGGGCCGGGGCGGGAAGCGGGCGGGCACCGCCGCGCAAGCCCCGCCCCTCCCGGGAGCGGGAAGCGAAACCCGGCCGGGGCCCTCGCTCCGGGCGGCGACTTTGCGTCCCCGCACGTGGGCGCCCACCCTCTAAGCGCCGGTCCGCACCTCGGTACACCCGGAAGGGCTGGGCAGCGCCGTCTGTTCCTTCACTGATTCATTCGTTGCCCGGACCACGGCACAGCGCTCCAGTGCGCAGCTGGACACAAGTCCGTCCCACGCCCAGCGCCGCGAAGGACACCAGCGGGGGCGCGGGCCGGCACCGCTGCGCACTCGAGCAGGCTGCACTCTCAGGGCCCAGGGCCCCAGAACCCACGGGGAGCCGCGCACAGCTTAGCGGAGCAGACATCCCCACACCACCAAAAGACGCTGGAGGACCTCTAGTGTTCCCCACCAGGGGCGCAGCCTGCAGCAAAGAACAACCCTCAGCCGCCAGTGCCTCGCCCTTGGCCACAGGCTGCCCCCAAGTTGGGCCACGTGTTTGGCCTATTGGCTGCAGGTTCAGGTACTTGCCCACTAAGGATGGCCTTAGGCCTGAGCCCAAGCAACTCCACTTTAAAATTCCAGTTTGAAACCTGCAGTCTCACCAGGCACACCCACAGAGCCCTCCAGTGTGGCCCTCAAGCACCAATAGGTCACTTCCCCCACCCTGACATCAGAGTGAAGTCTCTGGCAGGCTGTCCTCGCCCAATAAGGGGGAAAGGAAAGGCGGCCGTTAAGAGGGAAAGGCGAAAAGATCAGAGTGGGAACCACGAGACCAGATGCTTTAACCCAGGGTAAATGAGATCACTGAGAGACCCCCATGGCAGCTGACGCACACAACCCTGAGAGCCCGATGAGGACCTGGACTGACATCCCAAGTCTTCCCGTGTGCCTGATCCTCGGCATTGTTCTTACCACCCTCAAACTCTACAGCCACATTTGGCCCTGTGAGAGCTGCAACTTCTCCCTATGACCCTCCCCTCAGCCAGCCATCAGTTCCACCCAGGAGAAGCCTACCTTGGTTCCTGACCTGATCACCGTGGTCTGAGTGAGTGTGCATCTGCTGGACTTGAAGCCTAAGACTTGAGACTTCTGATCTGACACTTGAGCTTTGCATGCAGAGGGAATGCCTGTCATGAGCCTGTCATGATGAAGAGTGTTTGCAGTGCTTGGAATTAATCCAGAATTGTTTGGTGTGAATTGTTTATGTCTATTGCCATGCCCAGAGTTAAGGATTGTCATTCCATAAGAACCTATAGAGTGAAATTGTATTAAGTGATTTAAGTAAATAAAGCATTGAAAAGGGCAGAAGTGCATGGACATTCATTATCTCTCCCCTGGACTGCAGATGCCGCACCTTTTGCTCTCTCAACACCCACCTAGGTCCTTCCAGGAGGATGAACCTGACCCTGCCCTTCATCTCCCAACCCAGCCTTCTCCTGAGCTGACGTGAGGGCACAACTCCTCCAGGTTGTGGGTCTTAGACATGTCGCTTTGACCCTTGGGGTCAGTGATATAGACAGCACATGAGAGCAAGCATGGTACCCTGCAAGAAGAGGGCATTGCTTAGGGAACATTTTCAAGAGAAAGTACATTGTAATTAATAATAATCAATCATCATCCATACCTATACTCCAAGAAACTTGGGATGCTGAGGCACAGACAGGGGAATCCCAACTTCAAGGCCAACCTGAGCGACTTAGTGAGACCCTGCCTCAAAAAATTAATTAATTAATTAATTAAAAGGTGCAGCCACGTCAATGTTTATAGCAGCTCAATTCACAATAACTAAGCTATGGAACCAACCTAGGTGCCCTTCAACAGATGAATGGATGAAGAAAATGTGGTATATACACACAATGGGATATTACTCAGCCATAAAGAACAATGAAATTATGGCATTTTCTAGTAAATGGATAAAAATGGAGACTATCATGCCAAGTGAAGTAAGCCAATCCCAAAGAACCCAAGGGGGATAGAAGTTCATTGGATTAGACAAAGGGGAGTGAAGGGAAGGGAATAGGAAAGACAGTGGAATGAATCAGACATTACTCTCCTAAGTTTCCTACAAGACCAGTGTAATTCCACATTATGAACGACCACAAGAATGGGAAATCATACTCCATGTATTCATGATATGTCAAAATACACTACTGTCACATATCTAAAAAGAACAAATAACTTTTTTTTTTTTTTAATTAAAAGGGCTGGAGACATAGCTCAGTGGTAGAGCACCTCTGGGGAATCTATTGCCAATTAGTAACAGCTAACATTTTCGGGCACTTGCTATGTGCTAAGCACATTTTGTCACTCACTGACTCTTCACAAACACCAGTACTGTGGGGTCCATCCCATTTTACAGACAGGGAAGAGGGAAAGGCCAGCGGTCACAGGGCTGCTGACCAGTGTTGCTGAGTGACAGCCCTAGGAATCCACGGTGGCCACAGTGACAACCATGCCCTCATGCCCCTGTCCTGTCCTGCCCTGTGAGATCACCCCCTTGGCTCTTGGGATCCGAGGAATCCGTCTCTCTTTGCGGCTGATCTCAGCCCTCCCCACGCTGACCTGTGGCCCCACTCCTCTCCCTGGGCAGACATAACCAGCACTCTGCCCCCCCACACCTTTACCCAGGTGAGTCAAAGCGCTGAGAGGAAGGAGCAGAGGCAGAAGGAGCTCCTGTCCTTCAGGCCTGTGGGCTCTGAGACGCTCCTTGACAGGGCCCAGGTGCCCTAAAAGTGATACTTCATGAAGACACTTGCTCCTACTCTTTTGGACCTTGAAAGATCTGGTTGCTAGTTCCCAGCTGTTACACCGATGTCCAGAGGCTGGGTCTCGGACTAGCCACAGCAGAGTCTCCCGGGAAACACAAGGCCTATGCCCAGGCCTAGCCCTTTCCTACTCACTGGGCTGGCCTCTATGCTTCCTTTTGGCTCTCCCCGGGCTTCTGAAACCCTCCCCCAAAGGATGAGAGCCACTATTTAGGCAGATGAGTTAATCAGGCATTTTTAGGAGCACATGTCGGTAGTCACTAATGATCAGTCCAAGCATATACCTTTTTCCTTCACAACTCAGAGAGCAAAGACCTATGGGAAACTGGAAGTCTGTTGGCAAGACCTCCCAGGCTGGCCAGCTAGGACACAGGTGAGCTGCCTCCTTGCTCCTCCTGTGTCCAGCCAAGGTCAGCTTTCCTGGGAGGGTCCTGGAAAGGTGGCCCTCCGCCAGGTTGGAGCACAGCACTGCTAGGACAGGTGGAAGGATCTCTAACAGAGAGAGTGACCTGAGAGGGCTGGAGTCGGCCCACCCTGGAAGGCAAGTGGTGGTGTCTAGGGAAGTTTCTAGAACAGTATTCATGGAGACAGAAAAGAGGGGACCTGGAAAATTCAAGCCAGGCTCATCTTTCATCAGAATGATTGAGCCACAGGTGTCTGCATCAATACTGTGCCGAGGCTTGAGACATAGTGGTTGTGGTGACCATGTGTCATGTGATAATGAAAAAGCTTCCACTGGGATACAGCGATGTAGGTTTGAAATGTCCCAATCAGGAGAAAACAGAGGAAGACAGAGCAACAGCTTCGGGCTGCCGGAGACTGCAAGATGAGCGCCACAGGATGTGATGGGCCAGCACAGCAGTGGTGTCGTGGCTGACCATGGTTAGCTGTGTCACTGTGACAAACCGCCAGGGTCCGAGGGGCGTAGCCAGCAGAAAGTGTTCTCAGCGCTCTGCAGCTCCAAGGCCAGGGTGCCAGCTGATTTAGTTCCTGGAAAACAGGCTGAATCTTCCTGGCTGATGGCCATCTTTTGGCAGTGTCCTCACGTGGCCTTTGTGAAGAGAGAGCACGTTCACACACTCTGGTCTCTCTTCCTCTTCTGGTAAAGACACTAACCCTGGAGATCCAAGATGGCACTAGAGGCAGGCTGCGCTCCCCCTTGCTCCCTGACTCTGGGTTCAGCAGAGGAGACACTGTTTCTCTGCAAGGCAGCCATCGCTGTTTACCCCATCGGTCAGCTGAAATCTCCCGCGGCCTACCAGCATATCGCCCACCTTTTGAGCTCAGATCGTTCGCTGACTGCTGCCTATTGTCCACCATTTGCCGTTTGCCTGCCTGCCCACCTCTTGTCTGACCACTTCTTGCCTGCCCATCGTCCACCACCCAACATCCACCTGCAGATCACCTGCTGTTAGCCTGCAGACCACCAGCAGACTACCCACGGCCTGCTGCCCCCTGCTGCCTGGAAGTACCCACAGATTTGGTTACACGTGGCCACAGCCGTCTTGGGACATTGGCCAGGGCTTACAGGCTTACTGCCACATCCGCATCTTGACACTGGCCAGGGCCTGCAGATATGTTGTCGGGATATCTGCAAGTCTGGTTGCACCTGGGGTCTTCCTGTTAGATGTGCTAGTGGCTGCCATCGGGCTGCCTCCTTGCTGGGCCGCTTGCTGTGTGAGCGCATCCCTGGTGGTCTCTCTGCACGTTGAAACCGCATTGAGATCTTGGGACTGCAGCAAGCAGAGCCTGGGGAAGCCAAAGCCCAGGTTCCTCAGGTTGCAGCTGGTCTTGTGTGGGCTAGCTGGGGTCTAGCAAGCCTGGGGAACCCCAGAGACCAGGGACAGTTCCCCAGGGGGAGCACAGGTTGGAGAAAACCAGGCTCTCTCCAGCTCAGTGAGTCCTGGGAAGGAAGGGGATGAGGAAGATGGGAAGACGGGAAGAGGGTGTGGGGGCATCTTGCTATCGGCTCACCCGCCTGACTGGTCGGGTACCCACCAGGCTGGATCTACCATCAAACTTCAGACAATCCCACCTTCCGCAGAGAAGGAAGGTGAGAAAATGTTTTA